CTTTGCCCTTTTTCTTGAAACTGATGGTCTTATTGACCATCAACACTTGATGCTCCTTCTTGATTTCTACCTCCGTGGCTTTTAGCATCGCGAAGAGCTCAGGAATAGTCTTATTCATCCCTTGCATATTATAGTTCATCACGAAGCTTTTGTAGCTTGGTGGCAGTGATTGAAGAACTCTGTCAATGACACTATCAACAGGAAGATTAACCCCCAGTTGAGTCAAGTGATTATGATACCCAGACATTTTGAGTATATGTTCACTGACAGAACTATTCTCCTCCATCTTGCACCTATAGAACTTATTGGAGACTTCATATCTCTCAATCCGGGCATTTACTTGAAATATTAACTTCAACTTCTGGAACATCTCATATGCTCCATGACGTTCAAAACGTCGTTGAAGACCCGATTCTAAGCCGTAAAGCATGGCACACTGAACTATCGAGTAGTCATCAGCTTTGCTCTGCCAGACGTTCATAACATCTGGTGTTGCTCCTGCAGCAGGCTTGGCACTTAGCGGTGCTTCCAGGACATAATTCTTCTGTGCAGCAATAAGGATAATCCTCAAGTTACGGACCCAGTCCGTGTAATTGCTACCATCATCTTTCAACTTTGCTTTCACAAGGAACGCATTAAAATTCAACGGAACAACAACACGAGCCATCTATCTACAATCAAACATAGACAAGCAAGATACTATCAGGTACTAAGTTCATGATAAATTTAAGTTCAATTAATCATATTACTTAAGAACTCCCACTTAGAAAGATATCCCTCTAATCCTCTAAGTGATCACGTGATCTAAATCAACTAAACCATGTCCGATCATCACGTGAGATGGAGTAGTATCAATGGTGAACATCAATATGTTGATCATATCTACTATATGATTCACGCTCGACCTTTCGGTCTCCGTGTTCCGAGGCCATATCTGTTATATGCTAGGCTCGTCAAGTTTAACCTGAGTATTCCGCGTGTGCAACTGTTTTGCACCCGTTGTATTTGAACGTAGAGCCTATCACACCCGATCATCACGTGGTGTCTCAGCACGAAGAACTTTCGCAACGGTGCATACTCAGGGAGAACACTTATACTTTGATAATTTAGTGAGGGATCATCTTATAATGCTACCGTCAATCAAAGCAAGATAAGATGCATAAACGATAAACATCACATGCAATCAATATAAGTGATATGATATGGCCATCATCATCTTGTACTTGTGATCTCCATCTTTGAAGTACTGTCATGATCACCATCGTCACCGGCGCGACACCTTGATCTCCATCGTAGCATCGTTGTCGTCTCGCCAATCTTATGCTTCCACGACTATCGCTACCGCTTAGTGATAAAGTAAAGCATTACAGCGCGATTGCATTGCATATAATAAAGCGACAACCATATGGCTCCTGCCAGTTGTCGATAACTCGGTTACAAAACATGGTCATCTCATACAATAAAATTTAGCATCATGTCTTGACCATATCACATCACAACATGCCCAGCAAAAACAAGTTAGACGTTCTCTACTTTGTTGTTGCAAGTTTTACGTGGCTGCTACGGGCTTAGCAAGAACCGTTCTTACCTACGCATCAAAACCACAATGATAGTTTATCAAATTGGTGCTATGTTAACCTTCGCAAGGACCGGGCGTAGCCACACTTGGTTCAACTAAAGTTGGAGAAACTGACACCCGCCAGCCACCTGTGTGCAAAGCACGTCGGTAGAACCAGTCTCATGTAAGCGTACGCGTAATGTCGGTCCGGACCGCTTCATCCAACAATACCGCCGAACCAAAGTATGACATGCTGATAAGCAGTATGACTTATATCGCCCACAACTCACTTGTGTTCTACTCGTGCACAACATCCACACATAAAACCTAGGCTCGGATGCCACTGTTGGGGAACGTACTAATTTCAAAATTTTCTTACGCACACGCAAGATCATGGTGATGCATAGCAACAAGAGAGGAGAGTGTTGTCTACGTACCCTCGTAGACCGAAAGCGGAAGCGTTAGCACAACGCGGTTGATGTAGTCGTACGTCTTCACGGCCCGACCGATCAAGCACCGAAACTACGGCACCTCCGAGTTCTAGCACACGTTCAGCTCGATGACGATCCTCGGATTCCGATCCAGCAGAATGTCGGGGAAGAGTTCCGTCAGCACGACGGCGTGGTGACGATCTTGATGTTCTACCGTCGTAGGGCTTCGCCTAAGCACCGCTACAATATTATCAAGGATTATGGTGGAGGGGGGCATCGCACACGGCTAAGAGATCAATGATCAATTGTTGTGTCTATGGGGTGCCCCCTGCCCCCGTATATAAAGGAGCAAGGGGGAGGAGGTGCGCCAGGCAAGGGGCGCGCCAGGAGGAGTCCTATCCCCCTTTCCATGTTGGACTAGGACTTGGGGGGAAGGAGAGAAAGAGGGGAAAGGAAAGGGGGGGGCGCCGCCCCCCTCCTTGTCCAATTCGGACTTGGGGGGTGGAAGGGGCGCGCGGCTGCCCCTTGGCCTCCTCTCTACTTCCGCCACTAGGCCCATTAAGGCCCATTAGGTTACCGGGGGGTTCCGGTAACCTTCCGGTACTTCGGTAAAATGCTGATTTCACCCGGAACACTTCCGATGTCCAAACATAGGCTTCTAATATATCAATCTTTATGTCTCGACCATTTAGAGACTCCTCGTCATGTCCGTGATCACATCCTGGACTCCGAACAACCTTCGGTACATCAAAACATATAAATTCATAATGAAACTGTCATCATAACATTAAGCGTGCGGACCCTACGGGTTCGAAAACAATGTAGACATGACCGAGACACGTCTCCGGTCAATAACCAATAGCGGAACCTGGATGCTCATATTAGCTCCTACATATTCTACGAAGATCTTTATCGGTCAGACCGCATAACAACATACGTTGTTCCCTTTGTCATCGGTATGTTACTTGCCCGAGATTCAATCGTCGGTATCTTAATACCTAGTTCAATCTCGTTACCGGCAAGTCTCTTTACTCATTCTATAATACATCATCCCGCAACTAACTCATTATATGCAATGCTTGCAAGGCTTTAAGTGATGTGCATTACCGAGAGGGCACAGAGATACCTCTCCGACAATCGGAGTGACAAATCCTAATATCGAAATACGCCAACCCAACAAGTACCTTCGGAGACACCTGTAGAGCACCTTTATAATCACCCAGTTACGTTGTGACGTTTGGTAGCATCTGTGCCAGTCCGCGTCGGCCCGTAAATGCTGTTTTGCGCGAACTGCAAATGCGTTTTGCGGGCCGGGTCTTGCGGGGTCTGCTAGAGTTGCTCTAAGGGCTCATATTTGTCATATGCAACTGTTGATGCTCTCACATGTGTTCCAAGGGCAAACTACATGTTCAAAATCTGGTTCAATGCCGTGCCGAATATAGAACATGATTCAGATCCGATTCAAGTCGTTTAAATAAAAATCAGAATTTATACTCTAATCTGTACTCCACATACATGCAACTTTAGTCAGAGAGACATGCAGGTGCTACGTTAGACGCCCAAAGACTTGTTGTTGAATGGTTAGGGAACAGTGGTATCCGCAACCCATTAGAATTCAAATTCTAGATTTGAATTGATGCTCTCAATATTTATGGATTTTTTTTCAAGCTTCTGGTGATGTTTGTTCAGTGAAAGAAGACTTTCCCGTCGATTATGAGGCGCCTTTGATGGCTTTGTAAAATCTCAAGATACTATGACGTTTTAGTCTTTTGGAGATGTTCATAGATTAGAGTATGCGTGTGTGCATTCATAGGGATAAGGACATGCTGGTGTTTATATTATACCGATTTCGATTGCACCCTGTTAGAAATAAAAAAAAGCTCAGCAAGCAGAAGCGCTGGAACGAGCACACCGCGATTGACCCCATGCAGAGCATGCGTGGACCGCGGAGGCGCCTCCGGAGTCTCAGTCGCCGCACCCGCGACTAGCACCCATCAATCTGCCGACGGATTGTTCGCCTGATTGACCGAAGGTCGAGCGCCGTCCATCCACGTACCTCCGCGCGCGAAGCAGCGCGGATCCCGGAGGCACGTAGTACGTCTTTGCTCCGAGGGTGGCCCGTGGACATCACGCAGCTGCATTCCAGCGTACCCCGGAGACCGGGCTACAGCGACTCCGGCCAAGTGGAGACAGCCACGGCTACCAACCAACCAACCCCCCCCCAACTAGACTCATCGGCCCTGCCGCGCGTGGCGGCAGCAAGCCAGCAACGACGGCCCGCCCCGCCCGCCCGCATTCAGGGCTGGTTGGAGCGTCGCTGGTCTGCACGCTGTGGCTAACCGATCGACGCACGTTAGTGACGATGCGCGGTTAATCAATCGACGGCACCGCGCGACGGCGACGGCGAGACGGGCGGGTTGACCGTCAAGGGGTGACACGTGATTAAAAATACTCCGATATAGCACGCGCGGTGTGTGGGGTGGAGACATAGGCCGCGATTTGATCTGAGCTCTGAAGTCAAGGGAAAAGGAGTCATATGCTAAGCTGCTGCTAATATCTGGTTTGTTGTTGGTTGTTGCGAGTGCTTAGGTAAGACCGTTTCGTTTGTACGTATGTTGCGTGAACTACCCTTTTTTTGAGTTATATATGTTGCGTGAACTACTTCTTCTGTTCCAAATTAGTCGTCGTGATTTCAGTTCAAATTTGAAACGAAGGGAGTACTCATTACATACTCGTCACATGTAAAAGGGCAAAACGAGAAGCCACATTGCCCATTGCCTCCTGCAGATTCTTATAAGTCTGTCACTGCCACCAAAAAAAAGATTCTTCTAAGTCAGACTGAGAGAGCCGAGTGACAGAGACAGAAGGTGGAGGAAGTTTACTCAGGAAGCCCAACTCAATAATCACGTCCCCCCGGAAAAAATAAGAAAAAACTCAATAATCACGAGCAACAGCACTTGCACACTCGTGGGCTGAAAAAACAAATCTTGCACATTCGCGGGCTCCAAGCGATGGCTTCGGAGGCCCAACTGCTTCCAAGGCCCAGCAACCAGCATTTTGTCCCCTGCCGCACCCACGCGTGCCGGCGTGCTGCGGCGGCACCCTTCACCTTCACCGGCGTCTCCTTCGTCCCCACCGCGCCCCAAAAGCGCAAAACCCCCAAATCCTCCAACCCTACCACGGACCCCCACCACCCAGGCCCTCCACCAAGCCTCCGCTCCGCCACCGCCGCGGCCGCCGCCCTCCGGCCTCTGCGCCGCCTCACTCCGACGGCACCGAGGTGAGCTCTCCGAGAAACCCGCATTGCGCGCCTACGCGCCGTTTCCCTCGCCGAGCTGTTCGTTCGTACGGCGTGCCAGCGCAACCCTAGTTAACTCCCTTCCGCCATGGACTGGTCTCACCTCTCGGCGCGTGCGTGCGTGTGTCTGGAGTCTGCAGCAGCGCGATGGAGCTCGCGAAGCAGGGGCGGCCGCAATTGCCTTCGGCTGCGCACCGGGCCGCGCAGGTCCCGTACCCCGCGGCGTTCCACCCCGGTGACTGGGGCGCGCGGGCGCCGGCCAGCTCCTACTTGATCGTGCCCATGAGCCAGCACCCGGCGCAGGCTGGCGTGCCCAGGCCCAGCGCGGACCTCACCGGGGCGAGGCCTTTGAGCAGGGTGTCGTTGAGGCCGCCGCAGCAGCAAGTGCTGCCTGTTCAAGCGGGTTTTCCTGGGATGGTTGCGTCGCAGCCGCCGCCGCCGACGCCCTCGGTGGTCAAGAAGACGCCGATGTCGCCCAAGGTCCAGATGCTCAAGTCGCTGCCGTCGCAGGTGTCTGCTGGCAAGCGTTCTGTTCAGAAGGAACTGCCGCCGAAGGCTCATCCGCAGTTGTCTGAGTCTGTGAGATCGAAATTCAGGGAGGCTCTGGCTGCTGCCTTGAGTACGGATTCTGACCAGCAGGTTGGGCAGAAACCTTCTGGAAATGTGTCACTTGTGGGATCATCTGGTGAGAACAGGCAGGCAGACGGTGGTAGAATGCAAGCAATCACAGCCATATTCCAGGATGCAGGTAAAGATGATGGTGGTGATGATGATAGTGTCACAAAGGTTGCTGCTATCAGAAGAGAACACGGTGGCATGTTATGTAGCAATTTGGGATCAAACATGCCAATGCAGCAACGAACAGAACATGTTCCCTTGGTAAACAAAGCATTGGGCAATAGCGCTGTTTCTTTAGATGATCTTCTGCAAGGTGATGGGCTTTGCTGGACTCCCCACATTGTTCTTGGAGCTTCTGAATCCATGTCACAACCCAATCCAAAAAGGGCCAGGATGTCTGATGTTCAAACTGGGGTTAACGTATCTCAAATTGGTCCGGAGCCTAAAAGAGCAACTACCATGGATGAGGTAATAGAAGGAAAGAAGGTCATGACTCATAAGGCCCAAAGGTTGGCATTTATAATTGAAGAGGAGCTGTTCAAATTATTTGGGGAAGTTAATAAGAAGTACAAGGAGAAAGGTAGATCACTTCTGTTCAATCTGAAAGATAAAAACAATCCTGGGCTGAGGGAACGAGTCTTGTCTGGAGAAATAATGCCTAAATGCTTATGTGCAATGACTACTGAAGAACTTGCTTCAAAGGAGCTTTCAGAGTGGCGGATGGCTAAAGCTGAAGAGCTTGCAAAAATGGTTGTTCTTCCTGATAGAGAAGTGGACGTTAGACGCTTGGTGAGAAAAACACACAAGGGAGAATTTCAAGTTGAGGTGGAAGAAACTGATGTTTTCCCTGTAGAAGTTGAGCTTGGTGGTGATTCACTTTCTTATGTAACATCAGAACCCGTTGCAGTTCAAACCAAATCTGACGATAAAGCAAGTGTACACAGGGAGATCAAGGAATCGGACAACAGTGTGCAAGATGTAGTTGGGACATGGAACAGCAATACATCATGCAATTTAGAATATCCAGAAAATGAGAAAAATTATCTCATGCTAGAACCAATGGTTGATGACTTGAAGGTTATGGAGAATCTTCCACTGATCATGTCACTGGATGAATTCATGCAGGTCCTTGATTCAGAACCACATTCCAAAGATCAGTCCGTTGGAGCCCTGCAAGATGATCCTAATACTAACAAAGATGACAAAGCTAAGTCAGCAAATTTTCTCATAACCATGGACAAGGCCGCTGTATCAGAATTCCAATTTCATTGTGATGTGTCGTCTCCAAGAAGTTATTGTGAATCCAAATTAGAATCACGCATAAACAAACCAGTTCCAGTTTTGGATCCAGTTGAAGAACCAAAGGGAGATGTGTTGGTCAAATCCCCCACTGAAAAGGTGGGTGCTGAAAAATCAGATACTGTTAATGGCTCGATTCCTGAATCTACTATGCAGTGTAAGAAAACTCCTGATGCTGTGCTGACACATGACATTATATGGGAGGGAATAATTGAGCTCAGTTTGTCTTCAATCACAAATATCGTTGCTATCTTCAAAAGGTTTGTTTCATCTACCTTGCTTATGATACTCATGCATGATTAACCTTTATTTTTTTGAGATGTCCAGTTAACGACAAGAAGTACTTTAATTTGTAATTTCAACAATTTTAATGAACAACAGACCATTTCATTATGTAGAGCATCACATGTCCTAGTATGCATCTCAATGTTTTGGCGGCATCCTTATTTCATCGTCATGTTGCTTCTCTTTTGCAGTGGTAAAAAGCCATCTACAAATGAGTGGCGCCGCTTTCTCGAAATCAAGGGAAGAGTGAGACTCAGTGCTTTTGAAGAATTTCTTGAACAGCTTCCTAAATCCAGGAGCCGTACTATAACGGTAACTATTATTTCTGTGTGTGGTTTCATATATGCTATTGTTGGTTTGATGACTACGTTGTTAACTAAAATTGGCAATTGGATTCTACCCTTTCTGTTACTGGCACATACACATTCTTGCACTTGTTGCCTTGCAAAACAGTTGTGTTTGTCGCTTTGACAGGATAATAATTGATTGTAAGGACCCATCAAAAACATGTGCTCTTGCGTGTGTTTCGTTGTGGTTACATCATATCTGCATAAACTGAATTTTCTTTATCATGTGAACTCACAGTGTACCCGTTCACAGTCTAGGCCCTGGGATGCCATAAAATGGAAGATTAAGGCTGCGTTCAACTCCTCTCCGTTCCCTCCACTCCGCTCCGGAGTGGACCAGGCTCTAGCTCATTTTCACGGAGCGGCTAAAACTGAGCTCCACAACTCCGCGGAGTCAGAGCGGAGAGGAGGGATTCCGAACAAGGCCTAAATGCCACCGTTATTTAGTGTGTTTGAAGCCTACATGGCAGACCGTGAAGGGATGGGCCTGTGGCCTAGTGGTGGGAGCGTGATTGTTCGTTCCAACCCACCTGGGTTCAGCCCTAGGATTGACAGGGTGTGCGATTTATTCAGGGTGCATCTCATGTTATATGGGATAGTGCATGCCAGCATGTGTGGGAGACCCACACTTGTGTGTAGGTGGGTGGTGTGAATGGTTGTGTGCGTATATCTTGTACCCTCACAAAAAAAAATCATATACTAGTAGGAAGCGCTTTCCTGTCATGATCCATGTAGAGTTTTTTTTTCTCAACATATGTTGCAGTTGTAGTATTGTCAGGTACTGCGAATTTCATAATCTTTTCGTATGATAAGCCGTCGACTTTGTAGTGTACACAACTGAGTTTCCTGCAACAGATCAATAGAAGCAAGCCATGGATAGACCTAGTCACCTAGTCATCGTATAGTTAGTTAATAGTTTGATACTTCTACATTGTGACATTTGGTACATTTACTGTTACATTAGTGTTATATTGAGCCATTTACTTTCTTGAAGGTCACCTGTGTACGGTTAACAAAGGTGCAGATAGATTTTTATATAGCAAAACAAATAGATTGCTTTGAGCTTTGACATACTGAACTTGAGCATCTTCGTACGATACTGTTAGGGTGCTCTTACCAACAGTATGGTATTGCAAAGCGACCGGGAGAATAAACATTGGACAAGAAAAGAAAGGAAAGGGAAAGCCCTGATAAGAATATATATACATGTTTAGCATTACTGTTAAAGTGTATCGTGGTTCATGCAATGTGTTCTTGCGCCCTTCCAATATGGTAATTTATGATGGCAACTGCAACTGTATGCAGGACCGCGTATTTGAATTATAATTCTATTGCGTGAGGCAAACTCGTGCCTTCACAGGCTTTCTGTGATTGCTCCCAAATCCCGTCAGATTTGATATTTGTGTTAGTTTACGCCACATGCAACATAATTATTCATTATAATATCATGATTTTCTCTTAGTGAGCAACCGAACATACTTAAGCACTAAATTGAAAAAGAATAAAATCACACAGATTGCACACATGCTGTAAGCCTTGTGCTACTGCAAGTAACTGAATACCTGAAATGCCGCTGCAAAACAGACACTCCTTATTTTATCACCACTTCTTAAAATTGTACTGTTTTTGCTAGGGCCGTGGACAGCTGCAAATGCCCAAATTTAGTTATTATTGTACTATCATTTATTATAGATAGACTATTCTTAGATATAGTTTGCTAGTTTTATAGGTAGATGGACTATTTTTCTCTGAGATTGAGATCTAGGTAATCTATCTCTAAACAATAACAAACTCTATAGTGTGACTATTAACTTACGGATATCCTAATGATAACCAAACTTGGGTATTTTCATGTTGTACTTCTTCATAATACCCATCTCGTCCTCATCTTCTTTTTGATGAAAAAGCTATTTGTTGGCCCCTCTCTTTGATGCCACACCAAGCCAAACTTTTCTTTCTTCCCCTGTTGGGCACCATACCGTGCCACAGGCTCTGTCAGTGTTTGGCTATCCGCTCTCCTAGGCCCGATCTAGCCATGGTAGCGGCTACATGGCAGGCCTCGCATCTCACTGAACCTTGTTGAAGCTGCTACCACCCTCCTACATGTTGTTCCTTCATTGTTCACCCCCTTGCTGCAATACCATTGTCGATAGCATCGCCGAGACCTTCCCTACCCTTATTGACGCCAAATAAACATTCCTTGCTGCTTGCCCTTCTCGCCATTCTGCCAAGCCTTGCCATTGCCATGCTTCAGCCTCGTGTCATCTCTTCTCTCTCCTTATACCGAAAAAGGCTTCATGGCCCACTTTATAAATAAAGCCATAAGGATACAAACACCGAAGGTTCTCACACAAACACAAGGTTAGAAGGGAAAAAGAAAGGAAAACACGAAAGTTACTTGCTGGGGGCACAGCAAAACAAGCCCACAAAACACACAGAACCACGGTACACAGTACGCTACTTCGCTCTCCTTATGAGGTCCTGCCTCTTGCCATTCCAGCAGCCGAGAGACCTTCCTTCATGCTCCCACCTGCTGGAATTTGCCGCTGCATCGCCAGGCTATGGTCCTAGTCTACCATGCCATGCAGAAGATAACATAAGCTTGGGCTGTTATGACTAGTTGGTTGGGTGGAGGCAGTCTGATCAGAGCCCCAACCCAGGCATCGATGCTGCTTTGGCAGAGATTTGATGAGTAGGCATGGATCAGTGAAAGAGAAGGGGAGATAAGATTGGGATAGTTAGGAAGAGGTTAGCTAACTGGTGGCCCAAGGCTGACAGAACAAGCTGATATGTGGGCCATATTGGATCAGTTCTTTTGTGACGAAGGGCAAATGGTTTTTGCTTACCTGTCACAGCTAGCTCAGGAAGTTTGGTCAACAGTGGCAATAGAGCAAGGTTATTAAAATAGCGGCATATGAATTTTACGGCCCTAAACTGGAACCTTTTATTTTTTTGAACAAAGAAACTGGAATCTGTATGCTCATTTTAACATCCATATTTTTGTGTGAATTTGAATAACAAATAAACTACTAGTACTATTTAGACTTTGGTAGACTGCCCTGTTCACATTGTACTGAATTCAAATATCGAATATTTCTGGTAATCTGTACCTATTTCACACCTTTCTGGCTACTCTTGAGTTTTGCTCCTGAAAACATTGTTTTTTTTTACATTGAGCATCTGTCACTTGTTTTACAGGTAACTGAGTTACGTTGGAAGGAGGGCTCTGTTGAGAGTGGTCGACATCATCTCTTAAAGGTTCCTCCTTACTATCTCTCAAGTATTTGCTCTTGAGTCGAAGCTTACACTGTCACACAGCTCCTGATTTGCTAACAATCTATCATTCTTCTGCAGACTATTGACTCATATATAGCAGATGAGAGAGTAGGGCTAGTGAAGCCTTCTGAAGGGGTGGAGTTGTACCTCTGTCCTTCTCAAGGGAAGGCAGCTCAGATACTTGCTGACCACCTGCCAAAGGAGCACTTGGGTAGTTTTACTGTGCCTGGAACATCTATCATCGGAGTCGTTGTGTGGCGAAGACCCCATGCCTCATCTAGGGTGCCCAACAGGCAAGAGGACTCCAAGAAGCAGGCTGCCACTTCTGGTTCAGCTATGCCCATGATCTCTCAGCCATCATCTCGCTCTTCCAATGCTTCTCATCAGGAAGTTGTAACCGCTGATGTTCCTCCTGGCTTTGGTTCTGGTGTTGTTAGGGATGATGATGACCTACCTGAATACAATTTCGTTAGCGTGTCAAACTCGGCTGCCAATGTGACAGTGCCACAGAGTTACAGGAGCCATCAGCATCTACCTCTCAGTTCTCCTCCGACAGACCGAGTGAGAGAATTGATTCGCAAGTATGGTAACAGATCTGCTGCAGCCCAACCCTGGAACAGCAATGGCGACGACGATGACTTGCCAGAATGGGATCCGTGTTCTCAAGGTAACCTCCAGCAGGCGCGGATTCCACAGCCACGTTACCCTTATCAACACCATGAGCAGCTGCAGTACCATTCCTTGCTTCAGCAATCGCAAAGCTCATTGTCCCAGGCATACCCCCAGCAGCACCAGCATGTTGCCATGCCCGTGCATGCTCAGTCGCTGACCTACAGCCACCCAACGCAGCCTGCTCAGCAATCCTACTTCGGTGTACCAGACGATGGCAGTGGGTCCTACGTCAATGGTGTAATCCATGGCACCGGGAAGGCGGGAGCCAATGGATGATGGCATGGAATCCAGGGTAGTTCTGTGCGTTCTTTGCAAAGCATCCGTTCTAATCGTTTGCAAGGATCTGGCGGTAGTATCGTGTCTGTGTTTGGTCCACCTATCGTAAGTGTCTGCTCAATGCTCACTATGATGGTGTAAGAATCATCCATCTTTATGGTATGGTCTCGTATCTTATTTGCTACTGGTGATTCCTGTGCTATCATTCTGATGTTATTATGAATGCCTTTTAAAACGAGTATAGTGATCAGTACAAGAGCTCCCCTGCTTTCCTTTTTCACTACTCCTAGATTTGATCAACAGATAGACAGATTGTGTATGGATGAAGCTCAGAAAGATCTTGCTTCGTTTCCACCTGAGCAACTCATGAAAACTAATTCAATCTTGAAAAAACAAGCAGCGAGCGTCTACACCAGGGCTGCTTCTGAAATATTCCAAACGGAGTTGATTGAGTCGCTGTTTTTTTTTTTGAGAGTACGCCAATAACGTACCATATCTTTATAGAAGACAGAGTTAATATTTACAAGAGCCTAGTGTAGATGGGAACATCTGCGAAGGCACACCCACTCCACACAAAAAACAAGATCACTCTCGCTGTTAAGGTTCAGGACATCCCTTGTGAAGCCAAGTACTATGTCAAAAGAGGTGGTGATCCTCCTACCAGGCACACTGTTGCCTGCAATGTTGCCGAGAAGAAGGCTTTGGTGTGACTGCTGCAGGTTTGCTTTCTCGGCGATATTATGCAGACATGTGCTGGGAGTATTCATCTTAGCTCACATCGACAAGCAATGGACGAAGAAGGCAAATGCAGGGCCAGTGTTTGTTAGACACATCCTTGAAGATGAAAACCGGCACGCAGATTCTGTGACTTGGAGGTCCAATGATCTCGTTGGTGGTGACCCGGTGAGGCGTGGAGAGAAGGGAGCTCTATCAGCAGGCTCCTTCAAATTTGCAGAAGAAGCTAGTACCGCACTAAGCCTATAGAGAAATAGATAAACTGACCAAGGCTAGTGCCGGACAAGGCTGTCGCGGCCCACCGGGGCTCTACTGCTGCTGGAGGGACGGCGACAGCGGTGCGGCCGGGCAAGGTGGCCAGTGGACACGCGTATGAGGTGGCCGTCTGGTATAAACTATAGCTTTTTTTGGTTTGTAGTTAAACGACCGGAATATCGGTCATATATGTAAATCCGACGGGTTTACTTACACTTGTCTGGTTATTTTAAACCTTGTTTGAAATATATATGGATAGCTTTGAATGACCGGCTCCCACATCAGTGTTCGCGGACTAGTACTCTCTATCCGTGAACAACGGATGCGATGTCCGGTTTACAGGTCAGTGTGGAGATGCCCTTAGGCTGCAGTGCAATTGTGCAAAGAACAAATCGACTGAAACCTGTTTGTGTGAGTCGACTGACCCAAAAATTAAAACCAGTCAACTTGCACGTATTGATCCCATACTAGCATTACTCCTAGTATATTTTAGGGCTCGGCCTAGCTACCTCTCACCGCGTCTCAAGGGGCCAAGAAGAAGAAGAAACTTTCAAAGCAGCCCTCACCCCACGCATGCATATGTGCCATTCTTAGCTTGCTCTTAATTAATCTGAACCTCTTCTTCTTGCTACCACCGCGAGAAAGCAGCTGAGGCGCTCCCTTTCTCCTTTAAATTTGGACCTTAATTTCCAGCTCCTGCGTCCCATTCTCCAAACGCCCAGCACCTCATACTCTTCGTTGCTTTCCTAACTTTGGTTCACTCTCGGGAGAAGCTAATTAACCATCACCTCATACTCCGCCGATGCCTCCTTCGCCTCTTGCCGTCCGCGAAGAACCATGAACTACACCGGGAGCGCCCTCTCCCTCCTCGTCCCCAAAGCCACCAAGGACATGTCCCGCCTGCACCAAGGCTACGACCGTGGCTAGCTCCGGCTAGCTACTAGTACTTGCAGTATACCTTTTCTGTTTAGATCCTTCCCCGTTGTCAGTTGATAGTTTCTCACACCGATCAGCCATGAAGGAGGTGGGTCAGAAGAAGAACATCCTGGCCAAGACGCTCCAGAAGTGCCGGTCGTTGGGCCACCGGAGGCAGCCGGCAGCCTACGGCGGTGGCGGCAGCGCCAGTGCCCCGGCGTCGCCACGCGCGGCCGATGGCAGGGCGGCGGCGTGGGCCGTGCCGGCGGGGTACTTCGCCGTGCTCGTGGGGCCGGAGAAGGAGCGGTTCGCGGTGCGCGCCAGGTGCGCGAACCACCCCCTGTTCCGGGCGCTGCTGGACGAGGCCGAGACGGAGTACGGCTTCGCCGGCTGCGCCGGCCCGCTCGAGCTGCCCTGCGCCGTCGATGATTTCATGGAGGTGATGTGGGAGATGGAGCAGGGGGGCGGCGTCGCGTCGTCGCCCAGCTGCGCTCGCTTCGCCGGCAGGGGCCACCACCAACAACAACAGCGCCACGGGTACCACATGTTGAGTCCGGGCACGTTCCGGTTCCTCGTCGCCGGCCGATCGTGATCACCATGCACGTGCTTGCTCTTCGCCAACGACGGTCTAAGTCCATCGTTGTAATCTTCCTTTTCTTCCTCTTTTTCTTTACGTGTAGGTTGTTGATGTCGAATGCATGTAGAAGTTAATTCTTCATCGCCTGTTTGATGGACTGCTAGCTTAGGGTGTTGATGTGATAATTTCATAAGTTGCCAACGTTTCTTGGTCCATCAGTTAGTGTGCATTTCGCGTGTTCTTCATGTGAATATATGTATATGGTGCTCATTGTAAATGTAAACTATGGACAGAAGATGCTTCCTTTTGTTTTTGTAGAAGGACAAGTTATGGCCTGTGCAATCTCGATGTATTGATTGGTGCACCAGGCACATATATATAAGTACAGAGGTGGGCCACAACCTCAACTATACAAAGGAAACAGGAGGTG